CCATTCTAGTACGAGAGCGCTGTGCAAGAAGGTAGCCAGAACCTTTGCCAGGCACGGAAAAGGAAAAAGGCTGAGGAAAAGCAGGTTGATAGTGGGGGTCCTGGCTGGCAGGAGTGGTAAAATGGAGCTGGCCAAGGGGAAGGGATCTGTAAGGGGGCTCTGCAGGGCTCGGCGACTCGGATAATAAAATTACAGTGGATTCAGATTTGCAGAGGACACACATTGGTGCTGCATCAGTTATGAGGGCATGACCATCGGACTGCCCAGCCTGATCCCTAGGAAACGTGGATCCATTTATTACTGGAGTTCAATACTTGAGTGCCAGGAGCATGCACAGGCTCAGGGAAGGACGGGTGAGGCACAGGGTGCAAGTTGTTTAGCATGCAGTCATGTTGCTGTGCCGAAAAACTGCAACCCTGAGGGAGTAGTAAGAGTGTGAACACCAGCGCTGTGCTGGTACCAGAAGGGTCCAGTACTGGTGAAACACCCAGAGCGTGGAAAAGGAACCCAAGTTCTGCAGAAGTGCCCTCTGAGAGGCACGGAGACCAGGAATTTTGTCTGGTTTATCTGAAAGATTAACAAATTAGAAAAACAAACAAGCCCCACAAAAAAAACCCCAAACAAACAAAAAAATAAACCCAACCAAACCAAAACTCTGAGTATTAAAAAGCCTCTTAATACAGTGTCAGTGGGCATGGCAGGAACCAGAGGCTGGCAAAAGGAAAGCAGCTGAATTAAATGAAGTTGCACACTTTCAGCCAAGAGGGTGATTAATCATTGGAACGAGTTCTCAAAATAAGGTATTTTCCCAGGCACTGTCTAGTCAAATGTGATTAACAGGCTTTTGTGAAGAAGGAACAGGGTAAAATGCCTGTGACACGCAGGAGGTCAGCCTAGCTGATGTAATTCTCCTTTACAGCCTTAGCTCAGCAACGCCAGGAAAACTTTAGGAAGGTGGCATCAGAGATTGCAGCTTGCTGAAACTGGAAGGGTCGTCTTGACCTGAAAGAAGGAAATAGGCAGCTTGGCTTTTGGATTTCACTGGGAATAAATAATTAGTATTTAGGTAGTTCTTTCTAGTAATAAATGTTCACGCTTGCGAGGCAGCACATCTAATCTAAAGCCAGATAAACAAGCGTAGAGGTGAGGCATGGCCAAGTGAATCAGCAGCAGACCTGGAAAAAGACCCAGTGTCTCCCGGATCCCTGGCTGAGACAGGCTTGTTTTCTTGGGAGGACTCAGCTGTCTGAAATCCAGCACGTTCTTAACTCTGCAAGGCCAAACATGCCAACATGAATTAAGCCTCAAATATCACAAAACATGTTCTGACGAAAAGTGTGAGGTTACCAAGAAATTATATTTTATGGGTTTTTATTTATAGATATTGTCATTCATATATATATATATATATATAAAATAAAAGAATTAGGTTTGCATTTACTCAGTGATGTCTGTGTAAATACAAGACAACACCTCTGTAAGGCAGGTGTTTCTCTTCATTTAGGAAGCCCTGCACTCAGCACTGGGCAGTACTGACTTACCTAAACTCACCTAGTGGTTTCTGTTACTGGGAACTCATTGAGATTTTCGGCAACGCTCCTATTTGTTGCTGTCTGAGCACCTCGAGGTCAGAACAGTGACCATGTGGGTCTCGTGTTTCCCATGCTGTCAATCCCAAATGCCTACATTCACTTGGAATGATTCGCTTAAGTGTCAAAGGTTAGTACTCACCCCTTGATTTTTGGGTTGGGATTTAAATGAAGAAAATCCCTTGGTGACAGCTACAGTAGCTACTTCCACAGTATTTATGTGATGTTAAAACTGCAGTTCTTTTGCACATAAGGAGCCTGGGTAATGGGGCTTTCTGAGGCTTCAGGTCTTGATTTTATGTTCTTGGCATATATGCTGTTTGCACATCGTACCGGGAAGACAAGCGTAGAGATGCTGAGCAAGCTTCCTTGGGACGTGGACATATTAGGTCAGCCTGCCAAGAAATTTAGATTGCTGATTTTAAATAATAGCGATTAAGATTTATAGAATGGTGAAAATTTGTGTTTAAAGTTCTTTGTGTGGGTTTTTAAAATTTTCTCTCTTTTTTAAAAAATTTTATTGATTGATTTAGATGCTTCCTTTATTGGCTAAGGCTGGCTGCAGGGTCTGAGCGAAGTCAGCCCCAATCTCTCCTACATCCTTGGCCCTGCCTGAGTCTCCACGGCATGCCAGTGATGGTGGGATCATTTTCTACGAGTTGAACTGAGCCTGTTGATTTATTTCACGTAATATCGTGTGGCCACCTTCACGTCAAGCACCGTGGCAGTAGAGGGTAGCTGAGATGAATCTGTGAGCTATGGCACTTGCAGGGGAAATTGAGCTCCTGGAAAATGTTTGTTTTGGCCAACCCAGATTTAGCACTTTGCTTTATGCTGAGATGCCTTGTGGATGCTTTTTCGCTGTTTCTGGATGAATTGTTTAGAAATGAGTAACAGAGCTGTTGCGGTTAGAGGTGTTTATCAGAGAAGAGGTGAGATTTTTTTTTTTTTTTTGTGACTTGTAATTTGGGTGCCTGCACCACAAAGCACGTTACCAGTGAGATGGGGAGCGGTGCTGCTCCTTACAGCACCCTGGCGAGGGCTCCTCGTCTTTTATAAAGTGGATCCTTTGCTGGTGTGGAAAGTAAAGCATCCAAACCCACAGGCTGCTGCAGCAAATGTTGGCTTCTTGGCATAACCGCTGCCCCAGTGCTGGGTAGAGCTGGTTTGTTTGCCTGATGTTCACCAAAGACACTTAGTTGGGCATGAGTAGGAGCTGCAAAACACACCCGGCAGATGCCATCGCCGGGGAGAGCATTTGGAAACCCATTTTCTGTCTTTCTAAGGTTTTCTTTCTGTTGCTTCTGGCTGCTGACAGCTCCTTTTTCTCTGGGAAGAGGTCAGCCCTGTCCTGCCTGGTTTGACCTGTTGAACAGAGATCTGTACCCTGTGCAGTTTATTGCCTGGCAAAAAATTTGAATTCCTTAAGCTCCCTAAATTAATTTATTTTGGAATACAGCGTGGCTTGAGCACTTGGCTCAGGGAACAGCATGATTCACGGTGACCCCCCGTGCCCTAACCCACAGGTTGTGCCACTCAGGATTCCCACCCTAAGTTAATGTCTAGGGGAAAAGTGATTAAAGAAAGGCCCTTTTTCTGTCTGTGACAGGCTTGGGAGGCATTCTGGGGAAGAGTTGTTGTGCAATGGCTTTGTAGTTGCTGGGGAGAAGTAGTTCAGTGTGTGAATTAATTTCACCAGCAGAAAAAAATTAGTGGCTGACTTCTGCAAAGGGAGGTTTAAGCTTTATCGCTAAGAGATGATTAAAATCTGCCTGGACTAAAATAGAGGCTCCACAGATACGGAGGAAAAAGAGACTGAGGTGGTTTCTGCTGAGCACATGGTCTTGCTTACGCTGGTGTGTGTTTTCCTTCTCTTTCCTTCAGAGACAGGATGGCTTTTGTTTCACAGGGTATTTCTGGAATCTTGTGAATGTGATGGTTCTGTGCTTTCAGGCACAAAAGTCCAAGTATCACCTTTGTTTGGAGATAAATTTGAAATAGATTAAGACATGAGCAACTGAGGGAAATAGTTTTTTACAGTAACTCTCATTATTTTGTGCGATTATATTGCTAATAGAAAAATGGATGGTTAGGAGCTTCAGAAGAAATAAAACGAATTCTATGATGTGTGAGTCTCCGGGTGTTTTTTAAAAAATACATGTAAGTTAAAAAATCAGTGCTAAAACCCAGTCCATTTGTCTTTCATAGTATCTGATGATAGTGTCAATCCTGAAATACTGTGCTCTTTCACTCTCCTTCGCTGTATTTTGGTCTTGTATTTTAATAAATGTGGCTGAATGTAGCTTGTAGCTGAAATAAATGCACAGTTACTATAAGGCTTAATCTTCCTCCATTTGATGTCATCCACATATTCTGACTTCTGTGACAATCTGTTTTCTAACAAATAAGCTCTACCCTTCTTTCTCTGCCCAGTCCAAAGAAAAAAAAAAAAAAAAGGTTAATGAATCGCCCTGTTTACAGCTGTGTCAACTGGTCACAGTATTCCAAATATTTCTTAAACATCTGTTAAGGTATGTTACTGTGTTAACAAAAAAAAAAGATATTTGGCAAACAAAGAGAAATAAGTGCTTGTCCAGTTATTCTGTCAAGACCGTGGTAGCTCTGACGTCCCTTAAGTGTGCTACTTGTCACCCTGGTTTTTATCACACACCGGTTCAGAGATTAAGCTGTGCTGCAGATTTTTTTTTTTTTAAGTGTCCAACTGCTGTTCAACTCTCTGTACTACATCAACTCAAGTTTTATATTTATCTCAGCTGTTTCACTTTGTTAGAATTTAGATTTGTTATCTCAGCTGTTTCACTTGTTGGTAGAGTTGTTTCTGCCTTCTGAGATTATTTGGGATTTTTCATTTGCTTGTGTTTAGTACAGCTGAAAGTCTCACGTGTGGTTGAGTCCAATCAGTGCTATCAATGTGAAACCTTTAGGAGAGGGGTTACCAAAATGTCATCTGTGAGGCATTAATTAGTGGACTTCATCTTCTCAGAATACTCCCACCCCAGTGGGGAACAAAGCAGCAGCTCCTGGCTAGGCGGTGTTGAGCGTTGGTCTGGTGACGTGTTTGATTCTGAGGGATTGTATTAAGAGAAATACTTATGTGTGTGTGTATCCCTGATTTTATTAATTTCATATTTGCTAAAACATACCAGTTGTAAGGAATAAATAAAGCTGCTGAGATTGCCCTGCACACACCTGCTTTTCTCACCTGTTCTTTGTGTGCTGTGTCCCCCCAGCTTCACTTCTGTGCAGAGCCTTCCACAATCAGCAGAACCTGGTCCCGACAGAAAAATACAGCAGGAAGCTACGCAGCAGGCAGCTTCTGGTGTCAGTTTTATGGATGCATACAGGTACCTTCTAGGTCATATTTTTCAAGGAGCTGTGATATTTTCTCAGCAGGTTGAAGTTGAAGTTTACCGGAGAGATTCTAAGAAGCTTCCTGGCCTGGGAGACCCCGACATTGACTGGGAAGAGAGTGTCTACTTGAACCTCATCTTACAGAAGGTAACCGTGGTCCTTAGCTAAATTTCATGGGCTGTTTGTGCTAGAGAGGTTTCAGGGCAGGCTTTGATCTGTCCGCTTCCCTCCCTAGCTTGGGGGATTTGAACACTTCTGAAGGATAGCAAGAAAGTATGGTTTTAATTTTGCCTTTCAGAATCTAAATGAACATAAACTGAGTTGTTGATTATTTTTCAGCAGTATCCTGATAGCTTTCCTCAAAAAAAAACTTTAAATACATCCAGCGAAGCTGGGCTGAAGTTTTATGCTCTGTAACAAAGTTTTACAAAATGGAAGGCTTTGTCAGGTTTAATAGTTTTTGAGAGTGAACGAGGCTGTTAGACAAGCAGAGTTCACAATACTGGTACAGCTGGGAGAGGGAACTGCTAAGTAGAAATGAGGTAAAGGTGTTGTGTATACTGCACTGGGACTTTGCTGCTCTTGACATCAGAATTTTAGTAAATTTTTTTTTTTTTTGGTAGTGGAAACATGAAGCTAGCACAAATTATTTCTTTAATCAACTCATAGGTTGTTTAGTTATTGCATATGTTACACTGGTGCTTAGGAAAGCTGAACATTACTACAGTCATTTGAGATCCCTTAAGTTTTGTTGATGGTGATCTCGGAATGAGAGACCGCTGGCTTATTGCACACATCCTGGAAAATAAATTGTTTTCATTCTCTCTCCTTCCTCCCCAAAGTCTCGTTGCAGAACTTTTTTTCTCTGCAGAGAGCAGTTTCTGCCTTTATTTGATGCTGAATAAAACCAGACTCTGTTTGCTACAGTCAGAATTCAGAGATGCTGTTATAGCTGGGCATTGCTGTCCAGAACTGTCACGCTTGCTCCTTAGAAGTTTTTCAGGTTGTTTGGCAGGCTGCGGTCATGGTTTCTGACCTCTGTAACGTGTTGCTTGTGCTCATTTAGTGTTTCCATTTTACCTTAAAATGTGCTTGTGTCCGTGTGCTGTGCTTATTCCCCCAGCTGACCAGTAAGCTAGTGTTAAACAATATTGACAGGAGGTTTTTTTACTCATAGGTTTTGCACCTCAGCAAGCATCTGTGCAAAAGATCTCAGCATCTCTGAGATAATAAACAAACATGGGCTTGAAAATTGTCGTTTCAGCACAGTAAAGAGAATAAAGAAAACAGCAATACTGAAACATCTTACTTTTTAACCAGACTGCTAAAAAAAAATTAAGATGGACTGTGTTCTGCTTCGTGCATGTCAATGTTTTGGTTTTCTAACTCTAAACCTTTATTTCCTCTATCTGGTCCCCGGGTTCAGCTGGATTATGTGGTGACATGTGCTGTGTGCACGCGCTCTGATGGAGGAGATATTCACATTCACAAAAAGAAATCTCAGGTGAGATTACCCTCTTATTACTCTGGATAAGAGAATGGCATCCAGTATTATCTAACCCTAAAGACTGTATCAAAACCAGGGCAGTGGTTCTCAGGCTGTGCTCTGACAGGTGTGCCCTGGTGAAGCATCTCAGATCTTTGTCTAGTGACATTGCCTGCCACTCCTCTCAGTGTGAGATCTAAATGTCCTTTATAGCCCCTCTCAAAAAAATTGTAAAGACCTCTGCATGCTTTCGAGATCTCTGTCTTTGCCTACTGGATTTGGGTGGGGGGGTGCTGAGGGGGAAGTATACCCAATCTGAGGGTAAACCTGAAATGGTATGAGACCCGAGTTATGAGAAGCCTTCAGGGAAAATCTGTAATGTAGCACTATTAAATAGTAGATAATTTACTGATTACCAATTTATCTTTTTATTGTTTTCTCTCCTAAACTGTCTGTTCCTTCCATTTCCACCCCAAAGGCTTTTATCACTTGCTCACGTGCAGCATACAGTTAATCTAGGCTTTTAGCACAGTGGAAGAGACTGACTAATAAGCATGGAGGGCATGGGAACAAGAAACCCCAGACTTCTTCACTCACGTTCCAGCAGATCTTGCCACAACTTCTCCTAGTTGGCAGAAATGCTGCTTTAAAACACCCCTGTTGCTTTTAAAAGGCTGTTTCTCCAAGGCATTTCCATTCATTTAGCTCATTCAGCTGCTTGCATGGCTTTACTGACAATAAACCAATGCTCTTTAATCCTTTAATTTTGTTTTACCGTTTTAAAACAGTTGTTGCTTTGCTTGCAAACAAACCTGGCAACGCTGATTACTGTATTTGTCATTTGCATTAGTTAGGTGCATAATTCCCTTCTTCTGGGGTGCTGAGACACCACGTTACACCACTGATGTAAGCCTTTTATTTCTCATTGCTTTTTCTACTGTTTATTCGTCTAAATTTCACCCCCAGTCAACTTCTGCAAAATTCTTTGGAGAAAAATCTGTAACTATTACTTGCAGGTTTGAAACCTGGGAAGATGAGGATGAGGGACCTGCCCTCACCACATGAGAGCAGTGTTCAGAATTGGGGGGGGGTGGGGTTTCTGTTCCTCCTTCCTAGAGGCTCGTACCATGGGCCTGCTTATAAATTTTTGTCTCCCCTTTTCTAGGAGAAACACCTTAAAACTTACCAGTACATACTAATACCATTTCAACATCATGAAGCTGATCTATGGAGAGGGAGGGAGGGCAATTCTATCTACCCTGGAAAACAGCAGGGCACTTCATTGTAACGTGCACCAGTGAGGCCCTTAGTTTTAAACAAACAAAAGCCAACTTTTTTGGATCTCTGTTATTACTGCCCTGGTGGTTCTTGCTTTACCTTGTTTCTGGGTTTTGTATACATTATCCTGTCAGTGTGCAGCCAGATGTTGGGTAGGTAGACCCATAACAAAGCCACCGTGTTCATACCGGTAGAGTACCCGAGGCACAAAACCAGTGTAAAAAAGGCTGACTTTCCCCTGAATTATTTTGCAGACTACATTGATTCTCTGCTGGCTTGACAGTAAGATCTCTACAAATTCTATTTTCCTCAAGTGTGTCTGACTGGCGATGAGTTTGAGGGTGGTTTGTTTTTTTTTTTTGCTTTACAGTGGATGGCATGAGAACAAGGATGCCTGGAAGATGTCCTTGTTTCAGGCATCGGTGCAAGTGCCGTCTTTGAGGAGTCTTGTTACTTCCTACTGCTGTTTCTTGTCATGAAACAACCTTTCTTTTTAATAATCTGTATTTAAATAAACTTCATAAGTACAAATAAGGAAAAGCAACCCTCTCATGAATATCTAATACCCTACCCTTAGTCACGTTTCACGTCGGATGGTTTGTAGCAGGAGTATCACCAGCCTGACAATCTGGGCAGAGTCAGAGCTTTCAGCACATTCACAGAGGGCTAAGATTTCAGGGTTCTTTAATTCAAAGCTTTGTTTGTGAACACAGGTGGAAGCAAAGAAGGCTACTTGGTATGAATTCTTCTCCCTCCTTACCTGCTTGCTAATCTTGTTGGAATGATAAAATCTAAAGCCTTTAGCTATTTAAACAGAGGTTGTTTTGAGGAGTGAAGTGACCAAAGGAGTTTAGGAACTGCTTCAGAGGGAGGAGCAGTGCAAGAGGAAGCACGGTGGGTAGAGACAGAAACACAAGCAGAAGATGAGGATGAGAAATCAAGCGCTTGTCCTCCTGAGGGCCGTGCTTCCCCTTACTGAGGGATGCTGATCTTGCCCTGGTACTAAGCAAACAATAACAACAAAATTAACTGTACAAGCAAATAGTGTTAGGTCAGCTACTCCGGGGTCACTTTCTTGCTGCGTGTGCTTTTACTTTGCAGCGCATTGCAGTGACTTAAAGGCAGCTCAGGGTGGTTTTCTCTGTCAATGAAAAGGAGGATGCCTTAGCTGCAGCACAGGGTGGTGAGAGGGCAGGTGCACACAGGGACATTTACTGTGGAGCAACTAGTATTTGATAACTTGCATGTGAGAACTCCAGGATTTCACAAGTGGTGTCATCATTGTGGAACGGGCTGTAGCGAGAAACCAGCTCCACTTTGCCTGCAGGGTATCTCGAGCCTAAGTGAAAATGTTGGCTGGCTGAGCAGTGTTGGACTGTGGTGTTTTGGTCTTGCTTGTCTTGTATTCAGTGCCTCCGTTCCTGAGCACATTTAACTGAGAAGATGTATTCTATTTTTATTTTTTTCTCCCCCATATATTTCTCAGCAAGTGTTTGCATCTCCTAGCAAACACCCCATGGACAGCAAAGGAGAGGAGTCAAAGATCAGCTACCCCAACATATTCTTCATGATTGACAGTTTTGAAGAGGTGAGTTCCTTGTTGCAGCAGCAGTTTTGTCCTATTCTGGTCTTATGTCCTGATTAGCTGTTGCCTTTTACCTTTTGAAGAAATGTTCTTGGCTAATTGAGGGTTATCTTCTAGTAGATTTTACTTGACCTTCCTCTTTCTTTAATGTTTGAAATCTGAGCTTAAAGCTGGATTTTGGCATCTCTCTTTATGATGGGCTAAAAGAAGACAGGCTGATGTGAGAGCTGCTTATCCCAGCACGTGATTTGCAGTGTGCAGTGCCTGAAGTCTGGTTTTTTGAAAGGCTGAGGTGGAGCCTACAGCTCCCTTGCTCTCTGCCATTTACATTGAAACTGCCTCGGGCCTGAGGAGAGTCGTGGGAATCCAAATACATTTAAACTTCAACAGCTGCAGTTTGCCTTGAAGTGTTTCATCTTGCACCTTTGGCAGGTTTTCAGTGACATGACTGTGGGAGAAGGAGAAATGGTCTGTGTGGAGCTGGTGGCCAGTGACAAAAGCAACACCTTCCAAGGGGTGATTTTTCAGGGGTCCATCCGCTATGAAGCGCTCAAGAAGGTCTATGACAACAGGGTAAGGTGCTTCTGAAAAACAGCATCCTTTGCAACCACAATACTCAGACACAGTTTTTCTTTGCTGCTGAGGCTGTGAGCTTTTTGTCTGGTTAGATCATCTGCATCATAGTCTGTCTTTTTTTTTCTTTTTTTTTTTTTTTTTTGCTTTGAAATTTACCTGAAAGCTAATGCTTGTGGCTCAGACAGCTGAGAGGATTCAGATCAGGATACCTTACTCTGGTGTTTGCCAAAAGGAGAGATGTGTATAAGTACTCAAGAGCATGACACAGGAATGGATCTCAGTAACAGAGTTTTGGGAGCCCCTTCATTTTCTTGAGAGGTCACAGATATTTCTAGTTACTTCAGAGAAGGCATGTTTTACAGGGAGACCTTAAACTCCAGTGACTACTTTGCTTTGTGTAAACCACGTTTTTCTTCAGTGTGTGTTGTACTCACGGCCATTTTCAAAAGATCACTGTAGTTTCACTGCCCCAGACAGCAGCTTTCTTTGCTTTCCTACAGAAACACAAAATGCTAGTGCTTTCAGCTTCAAATTCAGTACTTAGTGCTGAAGTCAAGAGTGTGCAAGAGCCAATAAATTTCTCAGTTTGTTATGAAGAGAGTCCTGAGATGTTTTAAAAACAAAAAAAAAAAAACCCACAATATTTACTGTGACTGTAAACTTCCATTCCCTTTGTTCCTGCCCTTGTCAGGAGAGGCCCTGGACAATATCCCTTCTCCTTGTTTTAAATGTCAGTGGTTATACTCTTCTAGCAGTTTTCTGAGAGACCGTAAAACTGAAATTGTTCCTCTCTCCCACCATTATTGTGTGTCTCTCACGATCAGCAAGTGGGTTATTAAAATACATGGGAATGCAGAATCACTGAAGACAACATAAGAAAAAAGCCCTGGAGTTGAAAAACAAGATTTGCTGTAGTAAAGTCACCTCATATCCTAGGAATGTCTTGTTTGACCACACAGCTATTTTATATTGTTTTGGTAGATGAAATAAAATTGTTAGCGCTTCAAATAATTATGGCTGAAGGCAAAACTTGAAATTGGACCATTCTTTTCACAGGACAGAAGCAATCTCTCTATGCTTTTGAAGGTTATGTGATTTCAGTTGTGTCTATTAATTCTTAGTAAAATACGAGTTGTGTTACAGAATGAGCATCTTGGCCCTTTCAGGTGATAAAACTGCTGGAAGTTGTGATAAACCACTTAAATTTAAGGCTAAATCCTACTTACTTTGCTTGGCAAAACCTTGACTGTTTTCATGTTGGTCTGTTCCTTTTTTCAGTTCTCAGTTCAGTTTTCAGTTCAGTTGTGTTAACTGGAAATTGAGCCCTTCTGTCTGTTGGGAGGGTTCAAAAGCTGTCAGGGTTTTGCGGTGAGAAGTGCAACCCAGGTTAGTTGTGCATGGGGGGGTGTTGTGTTGCTTTTTGCTTTGGCCTTGACAGAGTGGACACACAAATGTCCAGGCTGACTTGCCACAAAGTAGAGCCAGAATTGTGCAGTGTGCTTTGTCAGTTTGAAGCATCTCGTGTGTGTGTGTGTGTGTGTCTGCTGCTTTTTGGACTCAACAGGTGTCCCTGTACAGGTTCTGTTGAGTTGTGCACGTGCCTGCTCGTGCTCTGCTGTGCCATGTTGTGTGGGTCTGGATAAAAACCTTTTGTTTTATCTCAGCGTGCCATTGGGGTAACTCTGTCTTTTGGATAGCTGAAGGAGTTGATTTTTCTGTAAGCCTCTGGTTTTGTATCTGTAAAATTGCTTCTCTTTTGGACATCGCTTCACATTGTGGCTTTAAATGCTTCTTAAGAAGATAATGATCATTGTCCACTATGGTTTGGACATTCTGAGATAACAGCTTCCAGAGAACATCAGTATTTTGAAACACGGCGATGATACTACGTGATTTTTTTTTTTTTATTCTTTCCTGTCTTGTAGGTGAGTGTTGCAGCTAAGATGGCTCAAAGAATGTCTTTTGGCTTTTATAAATATAACAACATGGAGTTCGTCCGAATGAAAGGGCCACAAGGGAAAGGACACGCGGAGATGGCAGTGAGTAGAGTTTCTACTGGTGACACTTCACCATATGGGACAGAAGAAGATTCAAATCCAGACTCCCCAGTGCATGAGAGAGTAAGTAGCAGACAGAAATACTGACCTACAGTTAAGCATGGACACATTTTATTCCAAAGCAGGTGGACGGACTGAAGCTGGGATTATCCCACATCAAGGTTCTGAGTTTAGGTTTGATCGTGGCTATTTTGATTATACTCAGTATATGCAGATGGATTTTCAGCAGTTTCCCTTGAGCAAATACTGAATACAGAGATGACTGGATGATTCATGCTTGTGGAGGTGTGTTTTGTTGAAACGACAGCAGTGTTGATGCCAGGGAAAATGATGATTCTGCCTGTTTTCTATGAAAATTAATAGATTCCATTTCTGTACAGGATGGGATTTACCTAGAAACGTGGAATTTGTATCTCACGTAGGATGCTTGCTAAACCTCACAGGAAATGATACTGCTGGGAGATTTTGCCACTGAGGAATAGTGCCAACGGGAAGCCTGTATAATATTAAAGCAAAGATTATGGTTCTACGTGCAGTACCATATTTATGCATGTGCTTAATTTTAACGCAAATTATATTTGTAAAGTAAAATACCAATAGAATCAGTCCGTAGAAGCTGATTTGTCCCTTACTCAGTCCTGAGCCTTGTTTTCCATTCAGGCATTTTACCTAGTTACTGGGGATTAGGCAACACATCTTCAAATTACCCGCACAGACGTGTCCTGACCCGGGCTGGGAAGTTCCTGAGGGATTCCAGTCTGGTTTCCTGTGTAACATAGCTAATCTGCGTAGTTCAAAGGTCTGCACGACTGCTTCGAAAGGTCTCCATGCAGGCTGTGTGACTTTTGTTTCTGGCTTCCTAAAAGGCAGAATGAGCTGCCAGCAGAGAGCTCGTTAGCTGCTCGGGCTTGCTCTCTACAATACAGCCCGGAGAAATCAGGCCTAGAGGGACTTCTGAGCTTTTGGCTCCAGGACTTCCAGTGTCAACTGGAAACTGTCAGAACAGATAATGTATTATCACTGCTTTTTGCTAATGGTTTTAATGGCGGTTTGTCTGTTTCTGGTTTTCCCTCCAGGTGTGGTATGTAATGGCTACAGCATTAAAAATAGAGACAAGTACAAGGGCACTAAATAAGGATCAGCTGAGTAGTAGAATGCTTCTCCTGGTTTGGCTTTTAACATTAACAGTAGAGGGACAACACAGAGTGTTCTGCAGCGCAACACCATCCTCACTCCCATGTCACCTCCCTCCCTATTTGTATGGACAGATACGAGCAATATCAGGTGTCATCTCAGGGAGAGTTACGGGATCGTTGAATTAACTGTGTGAAGAAGGAAGGATGAGAGAGAAATTGCTCATCTTCATTAGCAAAGCAGTTATCCCTATTTTTTTTTCCCGTTTGAAATGAAACTATTAAAATATTTCTGGCAAAACCAGCAGATAAACACTGGATTTCAATTCTTTCTGAAATAGCTACAGTTGACTATAATTGTGGTTTACTCAAGAGCACCTACTG